TTGGGTAACCAATCTGCGCGGAAAAATGGGCTTCCGATAGACTTTAACTCTGTGTAAGCTAATGAGCTCCTTAAGGTCAACTTAAGAGATAACCCATGATGACCTGGTTTGATACTTGTTCCGCCCAGAACATCTTCACGCAATCTGCAATTACGCAATCACGCAATCTGCAATCCCGAGAGCGTGTTACGCTTATCTCGCCTGGCAAATGCTGCTTCGTGCTTCATAAAGCCGACATTTTTTTACTTTTGCTCCCAAACGTGGGCGCTAGCTTGGCCAGGTGAAGCAAGAGGTTGTTTAAGTCGGTGTTTAAGCTTGAAGGTGAAGCAAGACATTGCTGGGTTCCTTGACCGGTAGTCTGCTCACTCGTGCTCGTTTCGTGGTTGTTGCCTAAAAGAGACTGTTGGCAAAGGAAGGTCGACTGCAGCCCCCCCCCCCCCGTTATCATCCTGTCTGGCGTTCGTGAATGGATATCGCGGAAAGGCTCTGATTCTGTGACAGTCCGCATGCGAACTCAGTTGAAATTCAGGACGTTCCCTGCAATGGCCTTCAGGAAAGATATATTTTTTGGTCAATCGTGTGAATTTCGATGAGAAGCCTGAAGAAAAACTTGGTGATAACTATGGCAACAGAATTATTTACGCGTTTGACACGGAAAATGTTTCATTCAGTTGGCCCACTCCCGGACGGGGCAAGTTTAGTTCCTTCTCTACGGTTTTTCTTCTCTACGGTTTTCCTTCTCTACGGTTTTTCGAGAACAGCTAAAAAACAAACGCTTGCAGTAACAGAAAAATTGCAGTACCTCTTGATCTATCAGTTTCCCATTCTTTGTAACAAATTTTAAATTTTCATCTGGTCAGGTCAGTTACCTAGGTCAGGACAAAGAGGTCAACTTCTAAAAATGGTTGACCGTGCATGACTTTTTTGGACTTATTTGCTGTTGCTTCAATGAGCTATAATAACAGAAAATGATAGCACCTACAGGTTTTTTTAGACGTTTCGACACAGGCAATGCCAATGGCCTAAGATGAGATCAATTTTTGCTTCATTTGGAAAATAAGGCAAATTTTTAAGTACTTGTGGGTGGTTTTGGTGTTCACATTGTGGCAGAGTACTAACACACATGCGAAACCATTATATAACCACAGAGCACACGCCGTTCACGTAGGTCGTGACCTATCTCTATGGGCACTTTCTGCAAAACGCATGCTGAGCTCAAAATAGACCATTTAGGACGCAATTTTGGGCGCATAATTCGAATGCTCCACTGGAAGCATGTGACATCACGCTAATGCATAATGAGGCCACAATAGACCACATGAGGACATGCAATTTCTGCAGGATTATATGAGGTCGTCTAAGACCAATGAACTATGCTGTCAGTAGCGGAGTGGCTAGATGAACAATGGCGACGCGTTTAACTACCCCTAGTTCCTGTTGTGAAGCTGATAAGCAAAATTTCATGTCCAAACTTGTCTGTTTTCAGTTTGTTACAACTACATTGCCAAGCGACGAAGGGACTACGCATGATGTATACAAGAGCTATGCTATCTTGAGTATCTGCAGATGTGCAATACGCTATTTCTGAGCACAGAAAAATAGTGCACTGGTCACTTACACTTGGTTAGTATTCCAACTTTTTCATTTGGATGGTTCATAAATTTGGCCCAGGCTGACCTCAGCGGACCTCTAGGTCAGCCTAAAACTGTATTTTTGCGTCTGGGATACTTTTTCCCACAACTGCACAGTAATTTCAGTCAGAAGCACATTGTAAAAGAAAGCAGAAAAGACATGTTCTTGTGGGCTTCTGTTCGACCAATTCCGAACGACGACCTGACCTGACCTGACCCTTTTGGGGAACAGAATTAGTCGGAATGGACTCCCAGCAGTCTTAATGCTTACGCCTGTGCCCTCTATAGCCGTCCCGACGGAGTGATATAAGCTTTATCTGCATCAATCAGAACGACCTGCTTTCTTTTGTGACCTCTGGCTACCTCACATTTCACTCAAGGCCAAACATTTGGTGTGCATTACTACCGTTTTGACAAGGCCCTTACAACGGTATCTCTTTTTCTCGCACTACGTCTGGAGGTTGGAGATCCCAGAGGAGGCCAAACTCCCCCGCCGGGCGCGGTTGTCTCAGACCCCCGGACGGTTGCATTTAGAAATTCAGCTTGTCGAATGACGTGCATTCCATTCAATGAGGGCATATGTCAAGTTCTTACCCTTTAACATATTACATGCATCATATAGTTATCAAATCAGCGTGTACACTCATCACCAAATCACAGTACCAGCACTATGCTAATGAAGCATTATCATTGCTGTTCCTTTAAAAGAATGACAATGGGTGGAATAGATTGAGAAAGCATTAGATCGTAGACCTATGTATAAGGCAAATGAACGTCCTTCTGTGTTGAAATCCGTCAAAAACTGCTGCATCAGCATCAACTAGGCTCTCGCCATCACAGTCTGGCCAATCCGCAGAAAACGCAACAAGGGCGAGCTGTCTCACATACTCTTGCAAGTGCCTAGACGTGCCAATGCAGAAAACACAGCCTCACAAGCGTCCACACACACACACCTACATTGTGAATGTCACGATTAACACGTGTTCGGGTGGGGGATCAAACTGACCCTCCCCCGAAGACTTTGCTGGGATGGTTTCCGAACGGCGCGGCATAGTCGCGCCAAATTTTGCATAGTTGTAGGCAGTTGAATAGCGGATCAACAACATCAACAACAAGCATACCAAATTTAGATGTACCTTGTGAGGCCGCTGACCTATGGCAGGTCAAAGTCAGGCCATGGTTTCAGCAAAACAATTTCTAGAGAATAGGTTAATCTGTTCCAACAACGAAGCGTTAGACGAAGCCATGCATCTCTAAGACATTCTCTGAGGCAACACAACAATTGAACGAAACTGCACTAACCTAAGGCCAGGTATGAAGGTCAGACCAATGTCAAAATTAACCTGTTTTGTAACTCTAGGGCTTTCCGTATGGGGTAGTTTCTGGTGCTCATTTGTAATTTATTGATGACAGGAACCGCATTATACACCTTCCATCGACTTTTTAAAGGTCAGAATGGGTCACCGGCCTAGAATGACCCAGGTCAACATTTTGTTTTTAGGAACATATTTCTGCCTAGCGTAATCTTTGTCGCTTATATAAATACAAAAATCAAAATGGTCCTGTATGATTTTGGTCACCATGACCTTCAAAAGGTCAAAGAAAGTCACCGACCTTATATGAACATGCGACTTTTTGCTTAGAACAGTTATCTAGGTTCCAGGAGCCCTTTGAAGCCCGACCTGGAATTTGGCCTTGTTTGACCTTATTTGACCCAAACCTCGAACTTTGACCTAATTGAGTTTACGTACGCACTCTGTAAATTTGGTGTCTCTATCTGTCTTAATTCCTGAGATCTCAGGGGTCAAAATGACCTGCCCACCCGAGCGAAGGGTGTCCAATCGGCCACCCAAATCGGCGCGTGTTAAGATACCGCGGTAGTTTTTGCGTTTGTCAACCCAGGGACCTGCTCAGTGTTGTATCACTCAACGTCGTCTCAACTCCATCTCATCTTGACACGTGCCCGGGTGGCCGGCAAGATACCCTTCGCTCGGGTGGGGTCAATTTGACCCCCCTGAGATCTCGGGAACTAAGAGAGCTAGAGACAACAAATATAAAGGGGGTCTTGAACTGTACGTGAACTCACTTAGGACAAAGTTTGAGCTTCCTAGGCCATGACCTTTTGGTCCAATAGGATCAAACAAGGTCAAATTCTAGGTTGGCCACCAAAGTGCCCCCAGAACCTAGGAAACTGTTTCTTAGCAAAAGGTCAAGAGCCCATTTGAGGTCACTGACATTGTTTGACTCCTTGAAGGTTATGGTGACCAAAATCATACAAGACTGCTCCGAGTTTTGTATTCGAATAAGCGACAAAGATTACGCTAGGCAGTATATTCATCAAACAAAATGTCTATCCGGGTCATCTTAGGTCAATGACCTTTTCTGTCCTCTAAGAAGTCAATGGAAGAGGCAACATGTGGTTCCTGCTGTCAATAAATTCGAAATGAGCATTACAAACTATCCCATATAGCAAGACCAAGAGTAATACATCAGGTTGGTTGTGACCTTGGTCTGACCATCATACCTGACCTTAGGTCGACGTAATTTGCTCATTCAATATTTGTGGTGCCTAAGAAAGCATCTCAGAGATTATGGCTTCGTGAAATACTCCGTTATTGTATCAGATCGCACGACATTGCCTTCGCTGAAACCATGGCCTAACTTCAACCTGCCATAGGTCAGCAACCTTAGAAGGTACATCTTAATTTTTGATGCCAAACGATCCGCTATTCAGTTGTCTACAGCTATGCAAAATCTGGCGTGGCTACGCCGCACCGTTCGGAATCCATTCTGGAAAAAAACTTTGAGGGGGGTCAATTTCACCCCCCACCCGAGCGCGTGTTAATGGAGCTTCAGCTCGGCTGAAGTTTATGTTCAGTAAGCTTTCTCTCCCATTAATATAACATCAACCCAAGCCAACTTCAATCCTTGTTCACCGAGGAGAAGTCGTCTTGTTTTATACCGCGTGGCTAAAACACATATAAAGCGAGGATTTGAAGACATCCTCCCACATCTTCAAAATCTTTGAGAGAACTAGACCTGAAAAAATGGCCGTCTGTTCTCATTTTTACAGGAAAGAGAAAAACAGTTTGAATCCAAAAAAGGCAGTCTTCAACTGTCAGCAAATTGTGAACAAAACAAATATTGGCATAGATGAGCCCTGTCTTTAACCATGACGCTATGAACTCATGTTCAGTTATTACGAAGATGCGGCCAGTTGCTATGTGTTTGGTACTTGGGCCCCTGTTCAACCCAGAACGTTGGAGAGTTGCTGCAGCGTTAAGGAAAACCCCGCGAAAGACAAATGACAGGGGACACTGGAGAGAGTGACGCAGCTTCTCAAACGTTTAACGTAAAACATTTCTGGTCGGATCGATGGTTTGAAGCTCGCGTCGGTCGTGACCAGGCCAGTCCGACATCACGGTGTCGGAGACACTGTTATCCAGTGCCCGGCTGAAGTAGCCTACTCGTGGGCCGATGGTCACGTCTCCTTGAAGACGTCTCGGCGACGGCGGCAAACACTGGCAGCGTCTAATCCTCCTTTGTGAAGCATCCCACGCCGTGTGAGAGTATGGCGCGCACCACATCCGCCATGACGCCCGGCCGCTCGCACGAGGCGGCCTTCCGGATCGGGGGCGGGGCCGGGGCCGGGATCGAGGCCTCGCTCGAGATGGCGGGCGGCGCCGCGGCCGGAGATGGACTTAGGCCCCGGCCCGCCATCGGCAGGTAACAGCGCACGTAGAAGTTGACGAAGAGTCCGGTGAGCACAATGAGATAGACGAAGGTCATGGAGCAGGTCCAGAACGGCATCCCGCAGCGGCCGCCCTCCACCTGCGGCGAGAGGACGTCGCTCGGTCACAGCGGTCACCGTCTGGTCACAGGGCGTCTGACTCAGGCACCACGCGCTAATGACAGGAAATCAAAGTGCGTGTCGAAAAAACTGTTCGTAGAAACGTGTATTGTAGGGTGCACTTGTTGGCAGCGGTTTGTTTGCACGGTGGTCGTACGCGTCCTCTCCCTCCCTCTCCCGACGCTGCAAGGTTCTGACGTCGGTGGCGCACGATGGGACGCAGCTTCCCAGCATCTTTTTCGCCCATTAACGGTGCTCCTACGGGTTGACCACCAATGGACTTGCTGCATAATTGGTTTGCTGTAGAACTGGACTTGCTGCACGAAGGTCATCTGTTAAAAGTTATGACCTAAATAAAGTAACGGTTCAAGTTTCATGGTAGATGTCACAGAACGATCTTTACACAAGGCTCCCTCGTATCTTTCATACGTGGGTGCTCCATTACCTGGACCATAACGGTGCAGAGCACGATGATCGCGAACTGGGCCAGCTGTAGCTGGGTGAGGTAGCGTTTCCACCAGAGGTAGGGCCGCACTCGGGGGCCCAGACTGGCCAGCAGATAGTAGCTGTACATAACGCAGTGCACGAAGCTGTTCAGGACTCCAGGGATCCATGTGGATCCACCTGCAATCGCACACACGCAAAAGTGATTAACATGCTCGGTTGAGGACCAGGTTGATTACAGAAAGGAAATGTCTTTGTTCTAGGGAAATATAGTACGATGACTTGTCTCTGGTTTTCTCTGAAACTGTACGCAAATACCTAGCACCGTTAGCGGCGAAGTGCCTTTAAAATGGTAGATCTGAAAAAATGGCGTTACAACATATTGAAAAGTTTTGTTGGAATAAGAAAATCGCATTTAAAGTGGGTCTGTTTGTATTCAGTACGTGCAGAACTAGCCAGACCAGACGTGCCTTGTCTGGTTTCTGACCTTGCGTGATACTTTGAATGCTTGTTCTGCCACACAGGCCGTTTGTGGATTTCATATCGCTCGTTGTTAAGTACCTAGCCATTTTTAATTTCGTTCCTTTTAGGACTCTAGGCATCATATAAGCTTAAACCAGCGCTGGCCTGTTCGTGACTACCGTCATAAGATAAGGTTACTGACTTAGCTACTCCTAATCTTGGCGCCTTTCGTAATTCTCCTCCATGTAAGAACGCGGGGCGGGGTAGAGGCGGGGGCACGCTTCCACCTTTACTTTTTAAAGTGGAGGGCAGCATTGATTCCAGCCCAGCCCCCACGCGCTCAAAATAGCAGCGTGATGTCGTCCAATGTCATTCAAAAACCGCGTTCCCTAGCACAAGTCATACGTCCCCCACATACGCCTTGCGTCCCTACTGTTCGTCATTCAGACTTCATTTGCGCTGTTTATTTATGGCACCAGGTGTGGCAGAATCCTATTTCGAAGCACGCGCACGCAGGCATGCAGACAGAAACAGTGCTTGTGTTTTGACATGGAAAATGTAACAACGCGATGTCTTGGATAACCGCACGCCAAAAACAAAATTATCATCGAAACTATTTGAGAGTTGTTATATTATGGTATTATACAAGGCCGAGCCAGCGTGGCCACTCTGGTTTGGGCATATCCATGCCTTCAAAATCCTTGTGATTTGGTGGCAGTAAAATTGACAAAAGTATCGCTGCCTGCTCCTTTGATGAAGCTAATGCTGATAATTATGAGATCAGAAGTGCACTGTTTAGCCGATGGAACGGACTTTTACGCATAAGAAAACGCATGGATGCGCTTCTGCCTCAAGCAAGATAACTTCCACAATCTTCGTTTAAATCTAGTAAGCTACCTTTCCCAAGTAAATCTCAGTTACTGTACTTAGGCTGACCGTTTTTGTGGCACCGCCCCTTTCTTACGATATGCGCCAGAAAGGCTGGTCGTTGCTAACCGATCAGTAGGCTTTAGTTTACGCCCAGCATCGTTGACTCTGGATGATTGCAGACAGCAAACGGTGACAAGCTATAGCAGTACGGTGACCGTGAAACGATACAATAGTTAATACCAAGCCATTGCGTTTCTCTAACATCGCGCAGAACATGGCTTATAACGCCAAGCACGAGTTATCAGTCGATGCCGCCTTTGGTCAGACGGCTTGGCAGCGTTTTGACATACCCGGGCAAAACAGCGTGCCGAGCCAGAAGCCGAAGTTCATCGAAGCATGGTGATAAACATGCAGGTACGTCATCCTCTTGTGGTCCTTCTTCAGCACCAGGAACACCGTGTCCAGGAAGTCAATGATCTTGCTGATGTGGAACAGCCAGCAGGCGTCGACGAGCCGGCGGGCCCTGCGATCATCGCTGGTCTCCAGCGGCGCGCAGACCCGCGTGGAGGGTCGGCTGACCCAGAACTCGTGCATCATGTGGGCGCTGAGACACACCTGCCGGGACCGAGTCGGTCAACGGACGAGCGGCGCCAGAGGTACAGCGAGACTCACCTGACGGCATGCACTGGTGCTCCGACACACGTGACGGCATGCACTGGTGCTCCGACACACGTGACGACATGCATTGGTGCTCCGACACACGTGACGACATACACTGGTGCTCCGACACACGTGACGGCATGCACTGGTGCTCCGACACACGTGACGGCATGCACTGGTGCTCCGACACACGTGACGACATGCATTGGTGCTCCGACACACGTGACGACATACACTGGTGCTCCGACACACGTGATGGCATGCACTGGTGCTCCGACACACGTGACGACATACGCTGGTGCTCCGACACACGTGACGGCATGCACTGGTGCTCCGACACACGTGACGACATACGCTGGTGCTCCGATACACGTGACGACATACACTGGTGCTCCGACACACGTGACGACATGCACTGGTGCTCCGACACACGTGACGACATACACTGGTGCTCCGACACACGTGACGACATACACTGGTGCTCCGACACAAGTGACGACATACACTGGTGCTCCGACACACGTGACGACATACACTGGTGCTCCGACACACGTGATGACATGCACTGGTGCTCCGACACACGTGACGACATACACTGGTGCTCCGACACAAGTGACGACATACACTGGTGCTCCGACACAAGTGACGACATACACTGGTGCTCCGACACAAGTGACGACATACACTGGTGCTCCGACACACGTGATGACATGCACTGGTGCTCTGACACACGTGACGACATACACGGGTGCTCCGACACACGTGATGGCATGCACTGGTGCTCCGACACACGTGACGACATACACTGGTGCTCCGACACACGTGATGGCATGCACTGGTGCTCCGACACACGTGACGACATACACTGGTGCTCCGACACACGTGACGACATACACGGGTGCTCCGACACACGTGACGACATGCACTGGTGCTCCGACACAAGTGACGACATACACTGGTGCTCCGACACAAGTGACGACATACACTGGTGCTCCGACACAAGTGACGGCATACACTGGTGCTCCGACACAAGTGACGACATACACGGGTGCTCCGACACACGTGATGGCATGCACTGGTGCTCCGACGCACGTGACGACATACACTGGTGCTCCGAAAAAAGTGATGGCATATACTGGTGCTCCGACGAACGTGATGGCATACACTGGTGCTCAGACACATGTGGTACCACAAACTGGTGCTCAGACACATTTGACCACATACACTGGTACCCTGATAAATAGACGAATGTTCTTGTACATACGCCTTACGTCAGTAGGGCAAACTGGCCCATGTGCCGCCTTCAAAGAAGGCTGAACACCTGATATTTTTTGTCTGGGATCCTTGGTTTTAGGGAATCAGTCGTCGTGGCCCAGTGTAAGAATCGAGTGTGTATTAATTTTGTTCCAATTTCTTTTAAGATTTGAGGCCACGCCATGACCTTGAAGCTTGTCATGTCTGGACCGTTTGATGCGTGTCGACCTCTGCAAGCAGAACAGATGATGCTGCTGGCGCTGCGAATCGCTGCAGAGAAAGGTTCGTGGCGTTCCCAGTCAAAGTGTGTTGGCAGTACAGTTGCTTTTCCTACCAGCTCATAGGGTTCACGTGTTAAAGGCATGCTTTTTCGGAGAGCTGTTTGTCAAACTCCACAAGACCAATTTCACTAAACATGGTACCCCGCCCAAAAAAAAATATCGCACCGGTCCATTTACCAGGCTTTGTCTATAGCAGCCAAACTCACACGACGTACCGGGTCAAAGTTTTCGTGTACGGTACGACGAATATTGTATTGCTTTTAAGCCACAGTTCCTCCATTTACACAGCATCTATCATAGACCGAAAGCGAGGCTGGTAACCTAGTTGTCAATCTTCAGCGTGGTAGCTTCACTGTACATTTTCTGCGCTATGTAAGCTAGTAAGTACCTGCTACTACGCGCCCTCCCGCGTCACGGGAGGTTAGCTCCTCACAAATTCAAGGATAGTATCAGGCACAGAAAAAGTGACACCAGTTTGCCCCACTAAACAAGCAGTGCCGACCACATCTCATTGGCCATGTTGTAATATCTGGCGCCTGGGTAGGGTACGGCTCTCCCTTGCACCGGCCGGGACCTGTTCTCCTCATAGGGCGCAGCATATGTTCACCTGTCACGTACAAACATTGCTTTTCATAAGACAGACCCGCAACCAAATGACGTCAAACGCTACGGCCAAGCAACGGACCGGCCCTCAAGCCTGGTCCCAAAACAGGCCCAAACTCCCAGCGGGACGTCCAAACGAGGACAACCCTCGACCAATCACGACTGATGACACATCTTGGACAAAATTTAGACCAATCGCGACTGATGACACATCTTGGACAAAATCTAGACCAATCAGCGACTGGCTGCGGCCGCATGTCGGCTGTGGGGGCGAGAACGCCGACCGTCACGAAACGAAGCCACGAGCATGTGCACGCAGTTGTAAGGGGCAAACGCAAGCGTGTTTAGGTTTACATTGTAATTTCATAGCCTACATCTGTCTTCGATTCAACGCTCCTGCTGTCATCAAACAAGTGTTCGGCCACTTCTGAAGAATTGTTTTGGTGTCACTGCGGCCCATCTGGCACCATGTCAAATCCTATGTAAACGGATCGCCCTTGAGCCAGCATTGGTCCAGACCACCTATGGAGTATGATGTTTGATGTTTATGGAACATAATGTTTGTTGTTGTTTATGGAATATGATGTAGGTTCGCTAACAGTATGCACCTGATATCAGGTTAATGAAGTATCATTCCTTTTCCTTACAACTTCTGCCGAAGTATTGAACATGACATCTACTTAAATTTACAACACAGTCACTGATGTATCATCTGTATCACACTATCCCCAGTACCAGGCCACCAAATGTTACAAAACAAAGGATACAAAAGTTCTAACAGATAATTGCCCATTTAGACGGTGTCTAGACGGTGTCAAATTTATGAACCGAACTTCGTTCCAGGCGGTTTCTCTTACCTTGGCTTCATGGGTACTGCATATGCACGTCAGTGTATGAGCCGTTCGGTATAGTGAGACCGAGACGTTTTCCTGGTAGACGTCGTTTTAATTCACAGCTGCCAGCACATTCGCCATAAAAAATGACCATGGGTGCGCGGAACGTGCCACATTTAAATATATCAAAAGAAGCATTAGGTATGATGAAGTGAGCTCACTTATAATTTGTGGTATGCTTTTAAGTTAAAAGGGCCGCTCCAGACGACACGATTTCTATATTTAGTGGACGTGCTCCCCAATGCGTTATTGTATCATTAGGTCATCGCACCTTGTATAACATTACTTGAGAGCCAGTTGACGACCGTTATATCTGGAAATCGTGCTCACGACCACCAGTTATGAACGACTCGACGGTTATATTTCTATTGGCCTTAATCTCCGCTTGGCCAATGCGGTAATATGATTTGAATGACGTTATGATTGCGTCATGGATGTCTGGGTGACCTTGAAATAGTGTGCACATCTGCACGGGCAGGTAGCTCAGCAACTTGATAGGTCTTAATTCCTGTGCCGTGTCAAAAACATTTGGGCATGCTTCCTGTGCGACAAGATCCAGAGAGATGAAAAAGGATTTTTAGCCGTGGCTTGAAGCGTTTGGCACTTCAAAGCTGTTTGTTGCTCTAAAACAGTGCCGATGCAGTATTTCAGATTTAGAGCCTGACATTCAGCGTCAGGTTGCAACTAGAAGCCATTAATGAGCAAAGACTTCTGTACAGATGGCGCTGAAGCCATCACGTTTGAAAATAATCGCACGTGAAAGAGTGAAAGTATTTGCCAACTGTCACCACCGTCAAATTAATAGTTTCGTTTAATTTGTGATTTAGTCGTAATTTGTCGCATTCACGTGCCATCCGGACACATTATAAATTAACGATGCCGTTCGTTTTGTTTGCCATTTGGCGGGATGATTGGCATAATCCTGTTTGCGAAAGTGCATATGGTATTTACATAATTTTTTTCATGGCATTATCTACCACAGTCGTTGTTGATCTATGTGGCAACAAGACGGGGAGGGGCGCTACCAAAGTCAAATCGCAGCCGAAAAATCTGATAATCCTCTTTTCAGACCTGAGTTGTTTTAGACGCATTCCTATACAACGCTTCTCCACTTGGCCTCTATCTACAGGTGTTACAACTATAAGCTACTTTCTTAACACGCACCCGGGTGGCCGGCTAGATACCCTTCGCTCAGGTGTGGGGGGAGTCAATTTGACCCCCCCCCCCCTGAGATCTCGGGAACTAAGAAGGAGACTCCAAATTGCAGGGTGTCTTGACCTGCATGTGAGCTCATTTACGTCAAAGTTTGAGCTTTCTAGGTCATGACCTTTAGGTCAAGTAGGGCCAAACAATGCCAAATTCTAGGCTGGTCACGAAATTGCCCCCAGAACTTAGGAAACTGTTTCTGAGCAAAAGATCAAAAGCCCATTTGAAATCAGTGACCTTGTTTGACCTTTTGAAGGTCATGGTGACCAAAATCATGCAAGACTGCTCCGAGTGTTGCATTTTTAATAAGCGACGAAAATTACACTAGACAGTTTGCTCATACAGCAAAATTTCTAACCGACTCATCTCAAGTCAATGGCCTTTTCTGACCTCTTAGAAGTCAATGAAAGATGTATAATGCGGTTCATGCTGCCAGTAAATTCAAAATGAGCACCACAAACTATCACATACAGCAAGCCCTAGGGTAATAAACCAGATTAGTTGTGACCTTGGTCTGACCTTCGTAGTGCCTAAGAAAGCATATCAGAGATGTATGGCTTCGTCAAACACTCCGTTATTATATCAGATTGGACGATTCCCTAGAAATTGCCTTCGCTGAAACCATGGCCTGACGTTGACCTGCCATAGGTCAGCGACCTTACAAGATAAGTCTAATTTTTTATGTCAAACCATCCGCTATTCAATTGTCTACAGATCTGGAAAATTTTGCGCGGCTACGCCGCATTGTTCGAAAACTATTTTGGAAAAACCTTCGGGCGTCAATTTGACCGTGTTCAAGCTGCTTTCACGCTCGCATGCAGCACATCATGTCCACAAAGTGTTATCCACTCACAGATCTTGCACCACACGGCATCGCATGCAGAAAGTTATGTGTGTACCAACCCGCATACTCCCGTCTTTGAACACAGACAAATTGTCCGATACAAATAGACACGAAATGTCACCACTCATTGGATGGCATTTGGTCCTAAAAGGTCGCCGTTGGCATTTATTTTGCAATAAGCGTGCTTGATGCATATATAAATGATCAATTATAACTAACATTATTGAAGCGCGTAGCGACAGCCAAATGTCTATGTTCTTGTGATATTTGTGCCATGACGCATCTCAAATTGTAGCTCTCGATGCGACAAGGTTTGACGTGTTGTCCATGACACATACTGAACTTACGAACGCGACACAACAAGTGAAATCCCGGCTGTGCACATGATCCCACACACCTACCTCGCGCATATCTTAGGAATCTGTGCTCACGCATTCGCCGCCACCGACGGGCCGCGCCGTCCGTCCTAATTTGGATGTCGGATCGAGTGACCCTTCAGGCTCCACCCCCTCCGTAGGGCCCCACTTTATACTGACCAAGTGGCTGGAAATAACCAACTCCGACAGCCAACACCGCGCGCCTAAAGCGACCAAAAAGACTAAATCGACAGAGAATCGGTCAAGACGGTTTTCTATCGGTAGGCTGGCATGAGTCGCGTTAGACGCTGCCGTCGTTCGCTCAACAGTGACCAAAGCGGAGCCCTCCAGCCGTCTGAATGTAAGTGAATGCATGATAAAGGTGACCACGGTGGTGGCAGGCACATTCAAGACTTCTGCAGTGGCAAGCTGCGATCACACGGCGCGATTTGAAGTTTCAGTGACAGGTAGCAGCAAAATCGGCAAAAATTCCGAGAGGGGGGGGGGGGGCTGCAAATAGCCGTTCGCCCGCTTTTTCCACGCTGAGCGCGGCTACGCTCCGTATCAGGTATCGTAGCCTGTCATTGACTCCGGCCGGGTACAAGTTTCGACTTGAGTAGCAACTTGATCCCCGCTCCGGCTAAGCGGCCACCTACCTCATGCTCACAATTACAGTACAAGTTGGCAAAAATGCATTCACACGTATTTGGTCACAAACGACCCTGTGTCTTCGACATCACAACTGTATTAAATTCTGGTTCAGTCAGCATGTTTTCGCAACGATTTGGTCGTTTTAAATGTTGCGAAACGTTTTTGGTTATTCTGAAACCACTTATTATCCTATGTGATCGGGAACAATGTGTCGTTATACCAAACCGTTCGTTTTGCATAATGCGTTTTGTTGCAAACATGCACCTTGAGCCATGATGTAAGTGTATGAAAAGTAAAGTCTGGTCCGAGCCACGTGTTTGCAGGCCTTTCAGTGTGACTTCCAGTGCTTGAAATCTGAATCCGACTCTGAGCCCACTGTTCTCGAATTGAAGAGAAGGGAGCTTGGTGAGGCAGTAGTAATAGCTTTATTCCTCGGAGCAAAACAAGGAGAATGAAGATATAGATGCGTTGATATTTCAACAACACGTCTTAATGGAAACAAAAAGCAGAGATGTATTTAAAAAAATGCTTGCCGATGGTCCTACTTGATTTTCAGGGCTTTTTTAAACAGAACGAGCCACAGCTTTCTTACAGAACGCCAACATTCGGGGGATTAAACAAGGAGCAGCTGTCATCCATTACTACGATACAGCTCATATCCAAAAATCGGAACGGGCGAAAAACACATAAAGGTATTTGCACGCGTATTTTTCGCGTAGTCCAATTCCTTGCGAGATATGCACTGTATCGTAATAATGGGTGACAATTGCACCTTGCTTAATCCCCGAATGTTTGTTTTCTGTAAAAAAACTGTGGCTCTCTGTGTTAAAAAAATCTGAAAAATCGAGTAGGGTCATTGGCAGGCAATTTTTAATTCGCTTCTGCTGTTCGTTTTGATAGAGGAATGCTGCCGAAACATCAACGCACAAAAATCACACGCACATCTCCATTCTCCTGTGTTTTCCGAGTAATAAGGCTATTTCTACTGCCTGATCTATGTGAATAGTGTTTCTCGCACATGCACCTAACAATTTACGTGATCTAGGACCGAACAGAAGGAAGCTTGGTCAAATACTCACTTTGCGTTGCTTGGTTTTGCTCTGCGATAACAAAATGATTAACTGGTTATAGTCGTAATTGAAAGTGCAATTGCGTCAACACGGATACGACGGGGCTTCTAAAGCCCGATTTTCAAACCATGGCCGATCTCGGTCGACCATGGCTGACCTGGCCTTCTGTTTTGTCTAGGTGCGAACGGTCGCTCGGCTGTCAGTGCGTTCAATAAAACATAAAACGACCAAATAATAAAAAATACAACGGCAACACATCCCTACGTATGATGCACTCTCATCAATCCGTGAGTTTTCACAACACGATCTTGTATGGACCAATAGCTCCACTTGGTACGAAGACTTACAGAGATCAGCCGGATCCATGGGAGCTGTCAGCTGCAACTATCGCCGCCCGCCAGCCGCACGACGCTGCACCGCGGCACGTTGTAGGCTGCAAGAGAGACGGCGAGAGGCCATCTGACCCAGCCATAAACGCGGCTGACCCAGCCAGGGCCGCCGCTGACTCAGCCAGAACCGCAGCCTGATCCAGCCGGGACCACCCACCGCTGACGCAGCCAGGACCGCCGCTGACTCAGCCAGGACCGCCGCTGACCCAGCCAGGACAGCCGCTGACCCAGCCGGGACCGCCGCTGACTCAGCCAGGACCGCCGTTGACTCAGCCATGACCGCCGCTGACCCAGTCAGGACCGCCGCTGACCCAGCCAGGACCGCCGCTGACTCAGCCAGGACCGCCGCTGACTCAGCCGGGACCGCCGCCTGACCCAGCCAGAACCGCTGCTGACCCAGCCAGGACCGCCACTGATCCAGCCAGGACCGCCGCTGACTCAGCGAGGACCGCCGCTGACCCAGCCAGGACCGCCGTTGACTCAACCAGGACCGCCGCTGACCCAGCCAGGACCGCCGCTGACCCCGCCAGTACCGCCGCGGACCCAGCCAGGACCCCCGCTGACCCAGCCAGGACCGCCGCCGACCCAGCCAGGACCGCCACTGACCTAGCCAGGACCGCCGTTGACTTAGCCAGGACCGCCGTTGACTCAACCAGGACCGCCGCTGACCCAGCCAGGACCGCCGCTGACCCAGCCAGGACCGCCACTGACCCAGCCAGGACCGCCGCTGACTCAGCGAGGACCGCCGCTGACCCAACCAGGACCGCTGTTGACTCAGCCAGGACCGCCGCTGACCAAGCCAGGACCGCCGCTGACCCAGCCAGAACCGCCGCCGACCCAGCCAGGACCGCCGCTGACCCAGCCAGGACCGCCGCCGACCCAGCCAGGACCGCCACTGACCTAGCCAGGACCGCCGTTGACTTAGCCAGGACCGCCGTTGACTCAACCAGGACCGCCGCTGACCCAGCCAGGACCGCCGCCGACCCAGCCAGGACCGCCACTGACCCAGCCAGGACCGCCGCTGACTCAGCGAGGACCGCCGCTGACCCAACCAGGACCGCTGTTGACTCAGCCAGGACCGCCGCTGACCAAGCCGGGGCCACCCACCGCTGACGCAGTCAGAACCGCCGCTGACCCAGCCAGGACCGCTGCTGACCCAGCCCGGACCGCCGCGGACCCAGCCAGAACTGCCGCCTGACCCAGCCAGGACCGCTGCTGACCCAGCCCGGACCGCCGCCTCACCGACCAGAGCCACCGCTCACCTGGCCAATGTTGTACAGGAACATGACGAGCCGGAGCGGCGGCGTCGGCCGGTTCTTCATGAGACGCGGCCCGTACGCCACCAGCAGCATGTATCCAGCGGTGGCGCCGAGCGTGATCTCGGGCGAGGACTGCATGACGTAGTCTCGCACGCGCGGGTCGCGCCGATGCACCAGGCCGTTCGTGATACTCCGGATCACTTCCATGGTGACGCCAGCGGTTCGTGGCCCTCCTGTGGCGCGCCCGGGGCCGGACTGGCGCAGCCGCGCGTCAGTGCTCACGCGCCAGCTCCCAGAACCGCTTTCGCCATCGGCGGACCGGACACAGGCGGCTGCGTCGGCCACAGGCGGACCTGACACAGGCGGCTGCGTCGGCCACAGGCGGACCTGACACGGGCGGCTGCGTCGGCCACAGGCGGACCGGGCACGGGCGGCTGCGTCGGCCACAGGCGGACCGGACACGGGCGGCTGCGTCGGCCACAGGCGGACCGGGCACGGGCGGCTGCGTCGGCCACAGGCGGACCTGACACAGGCGGCTGCGTCGGCCACAGGCGGACCGGACACAGGCGGCTGCGTCGGCCACAGGCGGACCAGACACGGGCGGCCGCGTCGGCCACAGGCGGACCGGACACGGGCGGCTGCGTCGGCTACAGGCGGACCGGACACAGGCGGCTGCGTCGGCCACAGGCGGACCGGGCACGGGCGGCTGCGTCGGCCACAGGCGGACCGGACACAGGCGGCTGCGTCGGCCACAGGCGGACCGGACACGGGCGGCTGCGTCGGCCACAGGCGGACCGGGCACAGGCGGCTGCGTCGGCCACAGGCGGACCGGACACAGGCGGCTGCGTCGGCCACAGGCGGACCTGGCACGGGCGGCTGCGTCGGCCACAAACAGACGGAGGATGTGGACGGGCGGGGCGAAAGCGGCAGAGCTGTGGCTATAGTGCTCTATGCATTTCAAGTTCTTTGCTGAGTTACTGCTATTGAGGATGCCGGGAGGTATCGGTTAAATGACGATATACATGGGGCAAGCAACTTTTACCTGACGCTTCAATCTGTACTTATGACTACGATTGAAAGGGTCGAGACGGGCTAAAAAAGTGCACTTAGACACCAAGACGCATGAATCCACCAAATATTCCGAATCTGGATCTCAATGTAGGTGTGCAGCACTATAATCTAGATTTCAGTGCAGGTGTGCGGTACTCTAATCAGCATCTCGGTGTGGGTGTGCAGCACTCTAACATGTTTCAGATAGGGTTCGAAACCCTTCGCATGCATTCTCATGGGATTTTATTGACACCACCGTGCAGTGTATGTCACTGCTAGGCATGTTTTGAGGTGTGGTTGCTGAAGTTGCCGCATTTGTAATGGCATAAGGTCTGTCGAAGGCTATCTGTCAACTACCGAAGCCGGCCCCCTTTTAGTAATTCAACTTAATTATTTTGGTAATCAGTTAATATGAAGAGAGTAAAATTTCAGGGATTTTACAGGCTTTGAACTGCAACTGATGACACCAGTCTTTCCGCAATGAGCGTGCATTTTGCATGACCGACAGCCAGGCCGGCCCGAACGCCATGCTGCTCGCCTTCAGAAACGACGTCACTCTGGAGATAAACTTTCGAAGAACTGCCGGCCCGAGCGACCTGATGCCCTCGGCGTCGACGCAGCACCAGGCACCAACGGTTCATACGGAAACTGTCGCTCTCCGTCACAGTTCCATCACGAGCAGCCTGAAGCCCTCGACGTCGACACAGCGCCATGCACCGACGGTTCATACGGAAACTGTCACCCTCCGTCATAGTTCCAACCGAGCAGCCTAAAGCCCTCGACGTCGACACAGCACCAGGCACCGACGGTTCACACGGAAACTGTCACCCTCCGTCATAGTTCCATCACGAGGAAAAAGAGTAAGCATCACGTGCGTCATGCTCAGAAAACACATGGGCAAGTCACACCGGTCGTGCATGCCAGTGGCTATGTTGCGTCTCCCGGTTAGCACAGTCCAAACTGGCTGGCGCGGCATTCGGCCAGAGCGCAGGGGTCTCCCGACCACGGCCCGCGGGACACGGAGAGGGGCGCCGTAGGGCTGGGTACCGCTGAGGGGTGCTGAGAGGGCGCTTCCGAGGGGCGCCGAGGGGGCGGGGAACCGAGGGGACGGAGCGCTGCTGAGGGGCGCCGAGGGGACGGGAAACCGAGGGGGCAGGGCTCTGAGGGGACGAATCGCCGCTGAGGGGTGCCAGGGAGGGGGGACGGAGCTGAGGGGTGGGGCACCGCTGAAGGGGTGCCGAGGGGACGGGACGTCGCGGGGGGGGGGGGGGCGCCGAGGGAGCGGGGCGCCGCTGAGCCGGGACGCGGCCCGCCTCTACGGGGCTTAAGAGACGGTGACACAACCAGTGCCACAGGTTACATGCGCGATACAGGCACGATAGGTTGCCTCACCGGTGCGCCGACGTCTCAAGCAACCGGTAACCGACCATCCATGTGCCGGCTCCGGTGGCGGAAAGAGAACCTTGTGGAGAAGTCGACGCATGTCAGCCCGCTGATGCCGTCTCCGTGGTCTGGGCGGGAGATGCTGGACTCGTAATCCAACGGGACTTGGGACGAGTCCCAGAGCGGGCGCATTATCCGACTCCGACTCCGACTCCGACTCGACTGAAATGGAAAGGCCAGTTGGCAACTGGCCAACGAGGGCAGAGGGCCAACTTCCTGCAACCCCATCGGCCGGCTCCATAACGAATGATTTCCCCACCCAGTTCATTGCGCCTGTATCGTAGTCGCATGCAAGTGCAAGCGGCCGATAGGCGCGGTCTACGTCTCCTGACCCAGAAAAGAACTGGTTCCGTTAAGGCAAAAGTGGACGTACCTCAGGTCGGTGGCCATCCACCCACTACGGACTGCCATCAGCACTGTAATCCGGCTCGGGGAGGTACGCTGGTCGTGTACCTGAGAGCACGCGAAGCTATGCCCATAACTGCTAATATCGCTAAGGCTGGAATCTACATTTTAAAAAGCTTGTACAATACATGCTCGCAATGAGGAGAAAACTAGCGAAAGCAAAACAAAACATCGATGTTGTCTTGTAACCGCCAGGTACAAATGGCAAGTAAAATGACCGCGACAAAAGCCCCGCCAACGAAAAATGGACCACGGCACGTTTTTGCTCCTCTCCGAGGTCACTAGCAGGAGCCCCGCTGCGACGAGCAGGATTTTACTGCTAGGAGTGCAGCCGCTGCCGGACGCGCTCTGCACCACCGGATTATGGCTGGCGGTCGAGCTGGTCTGTTCCGGTCGCAGCCCAGTCTTGCATCCGCACTTTCCACTTTCCGTCATGCTCGGCGGGGGCCCGCGCCGCACCCGCACCGGTGACCAACTCGGCGAGCACAGTCTCCCACCAGCCCATCGACGGGGACGACCGTCAGTGGAGCAGATTCGCCGCCACGTACCGTCCGACAGAGAGCACCAGCGACCGGCATGGACCAGGTCTGGGAGGTGGCGCGTGTGCTGGCGCACCGGCGCGACCCGCGCGTCTCCGGCCGCCTCATACAGTCGTCGGCGGCCGCCGTGCTGCTGCCGCTGGGCGGCTACCTGCTGCTGGTGGGCTGCGGACCGCGGTTGATGAAGGGCCGGCCCACGCCGCGCCTTCGGCTGCCGCTCGCCCTGTACAACGTGGCGCAGGTGAGGCGGTGACATGGCTTTCTTCTCCCGCTCACCCATTGCAACATGGCGCAGGCGAGGCGGCGGACGTGGCGCACCACAGGCGCTAAGAGCGGATGGCCTCATCTGTGTCACGTGTTACGTCGACTTGGATATTGACCCACATCCGGCCGGGGGTCTGAGACAACCGCGCCCGGCCGGGGAAAGCTAACTTCCCGCCCCTAAGATTTCCGACTTCCAGATGTCGCATGAGAGAAACAAAGACACTATTTTAAGGTATCCTCACAGAAAGAATGCATATCAAATTTTTGACCTAAGCTCAACTGTGAGGTCACCAGAGGCCACGAAAGGTAAAAAACAGTCGTTCTGATAGATGCAGTTGAAACCTATGTTGACCGGTCGAAACGGATACTGAGGGCACGGAAATAGGTGTTAAGACCATGGGGAGTACATCCAACCTTTTTTATTATTCACTTGGATCAGGTCCGATCAGGTCACCGTTCAAAATTGACGTACCAGTATCCTGCAAGAACGATACTTTTCTTCACAACGGACTTCTAGGTTTCCTTTATAACATGCAGCTATGGGATAAAAGCATTCCAGACACCACAACAAAGTGATACGAATTGGTTGGAGTACGCGCGCTCGCAGTCTTTCCTTGCAAGATTAAGGCTCCCGGAATCGCAGTGCCCATATGCTGGACGCCGTCGGTCACTGTTGCTAACAGCAGGCTATGATCTGGTTGGGCAAAAACGCCCATGTGCGGGAAAGTAGTATCTTCGTACGCTTTATACATCTGTTATGCTAAAGCCGTATTATCAGCAGTTCATATCTCGTTGTGCGCATTTCACATGCGCAACATTCACATTGATTCCTCGATCAGATTAGCTGTCACACCAAACCGAACAGCAGATAGCGCAACATTGTGTGAAATATTTGTTGTGTCGTAACTGCTAATCTGTTCAGGTCTACAATCTGTTAACTGCACAAGCGGAGTTTGCGGCAATATCAACCTGTAAAACGCACTATTTAACTTAAAAAACGTTCGAAAGCACTATTTTCCGCTACGCTGTCGTTTTCGGCCGGCTTTCTACGCCCACAAAATGACAGCTGCGACAGGCGACGTTGCGCAGCCCATGGACACTACAACGTTGGGCTTCGGCGTTCCCGCGAGATGAAATTGCGTTGGAGCGTGCTCGAGACTTATACTTTTAACTGTTCTAAGCCATTTGGTCAATGCCTGATTCTGTAAAATGATGAACGTACCCTGGCGAAGATCGGTCGACCTTACTTACTCAAAAGGTCGACACTGTTTCGATCCATCCCAGTAAGAAAATTCCACACAAGAATGAAAAACTGGTTTCCATATGACTTAACCTGTAATTACAAGGAATGCTGATCCTAGAAATATTCAAATCACGGTCAATTTTATTAGAAGAGCAGCGTAATTACTAGTTTATGCTAAAACAATAGCACAAAAGAACGTTTACAGTCTCAGTACGCTCCCCGGCATGCACAATTTCCAGGTTATATTTTGTGACTTAAGCAGTCGCTCCTCTCACATATGCTGCGGAAGTGATGAATTTTCGGAATAAAAGCAAAGTACCTTGCCCTTTTACAATTGTTTTATCTCCAGCATCTCGTAGCTCACTGCATTGGTGTCAACAGTAATGCAAACATGGCATGAACAAAACGTTTCCACGAGCTCTCGACAACTTATCTTGACCCTCGGGCTAGACCAGCCGCGCATGCGCATTGTACATGGACATATTTTGAGCGCTACAGTGCCTTCTACTGTCGCGCGTTTAGCACTCCCCAAAGCATAATGCATATATGTGTGGTGCGGTATGAAGTTCAACGCATGGAAAAGGTAGACCCAAAGAAATGTTCCTCCCCTTACGCGGTAACAAATGAGCATCGCTTAACCCTCAGAGCTGGTCGTTACGATCCTCCCCCGCCCATTCTAATGCTGTTTCCAACCAAAACAAATAGAGCTTCACGGAAAAAGCAGTGTACCGATCTAAACGAAATCCTACCATTGGCAAAGATGTGTATGTTGCTAAACTAGTGCCTCACCCCTTCATGTCAGGTCAAGGGTGAATTTATCCAGAGAGTTGCTTTATTTCATCTTTGCATGGAAGTACTTACGAAATCATGCCAAGCACTAGCACAAAAACTGAATGTGTTCTTTCTTTAATTCTAAGCGTTAATATATATATATATATATATATATATATATATGGCCAAATGCTATATATATATATATACATATGTATATATATATGTGTGTATATAAAGGTTGTTGTTTTTTAACATAAATTTATCATGTAGGGCTCTGCGTATGTGACGGTGCCTGCTAATGGCAAAAAAGTGAAACGAAAATAGTCGAAATACGACTAATCAACAAAACTAGTTAGTGGTCCTACCAACAAGTCAGGTGGGATCAAAGCCAACAGGGCCCAAGGTGAAAAAATCATGAGGGATAGATAGTCGGTATTGGTAAAATATTGGAAAAAACAATTAAGAACGAAAAGCCAGCAGGAAAAAACTCGAATGGGAGAAAAATCGTTAGGCATAAAAGTCAGATAAAAAAGCAATTAAAAGAACAAATATTTCACGTAGATAGAAGCCAGTCGTAATGCAAGTAAGTAAGCAGGTGGTCAAGAGGATTTAAGACAGGATAGCCTTGATGGTTTCAGAGTCCGATGTGTAACGCCCGGCTGTCCGGGACACTGTTGCGTCAATGCGCCACGTAAAAGCGATGTGTCCGAACCGGCAAAACCTGCTGGCAAACAGTGGAGGCGGTTTTAATCTTTCAGCAAAACTGTGGAGCGTCCCAATGAAAGCTGGAACGTCGCGAATCTAAGCGCACAGGACCTGATGACAGAGTAGGAGACGTTTCTGTGCTGCATCCATTGTTTAAAACAATGTGTTTTTTAATGGGGTGCTTGGTGCGGAATATGCGCCACGAGTGACATGTGAGTTGGGCAGGATCGGCATGCGATAAGGTGACAATGACATGCATCCATTGCATTTGTGTGTTTATGCTCAAGCTGGAGGTCCTAAAACAAATGGTGAGTGTTGCGTTTTGTTCACGTTGTTGCGTTTGTTCACGCAAAGCTCCATTTTAAATCTTTGTGTAAAAAACAGTGTTTGACAAGCTTTTTGGCCTTTGCGATGGTCAAAAAGAATCAGACAACATACTTGATCTTTGCTGTGAGAACTAAAATACCATATGTGGAAAAATTGAATGCAACTGTCGGGCCATTTTCACGTGAGTTAAATGAAACTGCGTTGTAACGCTGCGTACGCTGGACTCCAAAATTCTTAAAATGCATTTGCTTCTTACAAATCGTTGGCACTGTAGTACCACACCCCAGAGTTATTATTAGACATAACGCCTGTTGGAGTTTTACCGGAATATGCTGTTAAGATATGCACCAAAGGTGGCACATTCCCTTGGGACCTACCGTATAGGAGCCAAGACCTCTTTAGTGAGTGCGGCTGTGTTAGTTCAGAGCATGCTTTATGGTCATCGCCTGTTCTTGATAACGGAGCGTCAAAGGCGGCCAAGCTGGTCATGTCAACGTCCGGTGGTCATAGGGACAGCCGGAGGTCCTCCCCTGGCCTCCCAACCCCCACCTCTCGTGAAAATGCGCGATGGCTCCACCTGGGCTAATGCGTCGCCCGCCATGACCTGCCTCCCGTTCTTCAGCAGTTTGTGACTGACGTCACTTCGGCAGGCTGTGACCGGCGTCACTTCGGCAGGCTGTGACCGGCGTCACTTCGGTAGGCTGTGACCGGCGTCCCGTGCTTCGGCAGGCTGTGACCGGCGTTCCGTGCTTCGACAGGTCTGGCTGAGCGGGTACCTGCTGCACGAGACGCTGGTCAGCAGGCCGTCCAGCTGGCTCTGCGTCCCTGTCGACGTCAACGACGACCCGCGGGCGCAGCGGCTGGCTGATGCCATCGCCGTCTTCGTCCTGAGCAAGATGCTTGACTTCCTGGACACGGTGTTCCTGGTGCTGCGGAAGGACCACGAGAGGATGACGTACTTCCACGTGTACCACCACGGCTCGATGTTGTTCAGCGGCTGGATAGCGTCGGTGTACGCCCCAGGTTTGTCTCAGCTGGTGCTCCGCTCATGCATCATGTTCATGGTTCATGGTTCTTGTTCATCTTCTGGTTCATGACGGCAAGCTTTTCCGAAGCAGGATTTTTACCTGAAATAGGCATGGGGCCTGATGCGCTAGACAGACTTAGCAGTTGGGAACTGGAGCCAAGCAGTTCTTAAAGGGAATATTCCGCATTTTAAGATATCAAAGCAACCATGATATAAGATGAGATAAGCTCTCATAACCTTTTGTATGATTCAATCCGTCATTGTTTGATTGCGTCATCGTACTTTACACAACATTGATTGAGAGCCAGTTGGAGGCCGTAAACTCCCCGAACCGCCCGCCTGAACTCTGCGAATACCGGGTTGATTAAAAAAACGGTTGAATTTCTCAGATCCATATTTGCGGAAAGAAAGTCCCACTTACTTCTTATGGGGGGGGGGGGGGACAGAGGGAGGCGAAAACCTAAAAGCGAATATTTTTTATGTCACTCATTTGTGATAGTAATCAGTCTATTTCAACGCAATTTTCAAGAGAAAGACGGACAATTATTTTGAAATTCATACAAGATGGCAATATTTTGAAATGGGAAATCTACCGTGCCATCAAGGAAACGCAAAACGGAGTGAAAAACATTGTAATGACGGGTTTTTAATTCGATGCATGGAACGCAAATGTCACTGTGCCTTGCTTTGCTTCTAGGAAAACAGGTACATATCAAAATTGTAACATAGGTAGAACCAGAATGCCTATTAAAGCGGTTGGATAAGAACCTGGGTAAGTAAAAGATGTTACTGTCTGGTATGACGATGATACGCACTGTAATTGAATTACAGTGCCAACGTATAATTACGACAGATGGCACAGGCGAATTACGATAGGTGCCACAGGCGAATTACGACAGGTGCCACAGGCGAATTACGAAAGGTGGCACAGGCGTATCCAGTTCTTCAAAGAAGGGAGGACGGGACACGTGACTGGAGGGTGGCCCATCGCCGAGACCGATAGCGGAAGGCCTGTTGTTGGTGGCCACGTCGTTCTTATCCTGCAATGCCCCCGTCCTTTTTCTTTCTGGATCCGCCCTTGGCATCGTTTGTTTGGAGCGTTGTTCACTGCACAGCAGTGAGCGATGAAATGTTATTCCGATTTTAGGCCATCAAGTTCCTGGTGATATAGAACCCTTGCTGCATCCCTGGAGGCAACCCTGCTCAGAAACGCTTCTCTTCTTTCCTCTAATTACAGTTGTGCAAAGATAGTACCACGTTAACCTCTCCTAGCACCCTAGTGCCAGCATTGGCTGACGAATATTCAGATTATTAGCATTGTAATGCAGCATTCAATCTTCTTTACACTCTTTTTGCAAGACCTGGACGCACCTATATATATGTACATATATATATATATATATATATATATATATGTATATACATATATATATATATATATATATATTTATTTATATATATGCATATATACATGCATACATATATACATATGTGTATATATAAATATATATATGCATGTGTGTATATCTTACGAAAGGGAGCTGTCATTTTTGTGAGTATTTATAGAGCCACTAGTGTAACCAGGGATACCTCTTATCTTGGAGAAGTGTGCGCCATCAACAACGGCATTCGCAGCAGTGATCAGTTTGTCATGCATAGTTTGAGTTAGTCTGCTGGATCTTTTGTGACACGAAGTAATTTTTCTTTATCGTTCAAGATAGAATTTAGCTTCTCATTACATTCTTTATTGTGAAGCATCACGCAAAGCGATGGTTTGCTCGCTCGCTGAATAAAGATGTCCTCTTTTTCACAAAGTTCTTTAACGAAGTCCTGAGCTCTTGTTCGAATACTTGTTTATTTGTTTATTTAGGGCATGAGCACTCCACAGGCAAAAGCCCAGTCACGGAAGCAGTCCAGTTTTAAAAGCAATAAATATACGACACACACACAAACAAAAAACCTGTGTGTGTTTGTGTGTGTGTGTGTGTGTGTGTGCGTGTGTGTGTGTGTGTGTGTGTGTGTGTGTGTGTGTGTGTGTGTGTGTGTGTGTGTGTGTGTGTGTGTGTGTGTGTGTGTGTGTGTGTGTGTGTGTGTGTGTGTGTGTGTGTGTGTGTGTGTGTGTGTGTGTGTTGCTACTTTCACGTTTTTTCGTGGTCTCTCCCAGAAAGCTATTTTTAAGATCCTTGTCTATTGCGTCCTTTTCTTATTTTCCAACATTTGCGATATCCTGGGACAAAATTATAGTTCTTCTTTCTTCTTATGTTTATCGTATTTTGGCAAAATGTGGCAGTTCAATATAAGTTTCAGTACCCCTTTTTATTTTTCAGTAAGATCATCGTTTGATGAGCTGATGCAGCTGTCTTTAGTTTCCAGTAATATTTTGTGTCCAGCATGGAGTCTTGAGAATTTTTGCGAAATGAATTTTCAGCAAAAAGTCTAACATTACACTCAATTACGTTGAAGTCGTCAAACCTTTTTCGTCTTAGTTCATGTTCAGGGAAACATAACAACAACTCTTTTCTAAAGCATTCACTTCTTTTCTTAAGAATACCGCAGGCCTTCTTCTGCCCCAGTTGATAAATCACCAGCTTTTCTCCATACCTCTTGGTGGTACCTTCTTCCTTAATTGCCTGGTCGTGAGGTTTCATGTCAGTGTATCTTGGCAGAATACTTTTTGTGTGAGTTCATGCATGTTTGATCAAAAGGAGCATTGCTTCCGCATGAGCAAGCTTCTTGTTACAGCGTACGAGACTCCCAGCTTTCCGCTTAACTGTATCGCAAAGATTGTTCGTACAGTCACTCACATATTCGCCGTTATCTCTACATTATTGCGTTTCGAGGTTTTGTCTCATCACTGGGAAAATATATATGGCACAAGTAATGAGGTTTGAGTTTTAAGTTATAAGTTTCAGTAAGTGAATTTCGAGGCGACCTTTAGGCGCCACAATTTTTGTTTAAATTTTATGTTGACCCTTTTAACTTTACCAGAAGCCAGAAACTGCAGGATGATTCATTTCTGATTGTGTTTTTGAAGTCCATGCACTGAAATACATCTAGCCGAGAGGCAAAAGCAGTAGCCGGCACGCACACAAAGGTCGCCAAGAAATGTGCAGCACAGGAACGCAGGAACCCATTAGATGCATTTCAAATCTGCCATGACCTCTGCAAATAAAGAGAGCTGGGACAATAAACACTTTTAAACTCACAGTGCCGAAAAATGACCTGTGAAAAAATATCCAGTAAAATCTGTGATTTCGTATTCAACGAGATCGCGGATGATATACTACAAATGTATGTGCCCTAAAAGGGCTTTGTGCATCCTTGAAATTGATTTAATTTTATGTGAAACCCGATAGACCTGAAGCTTGAACGACGCTCCAGTGTCAGCACGCTCCGTGACTCTGCTGAGGCAGCAACTGTAGACAACTCCCTATACTACGTGATTGTGCTGAGGTAGCAGCTGTAGGCAACTCCCTATGCTGCGTGACTGTGCTGTGGTAGCAATTATAGGTAACTTCTTATACTCCGTGACTGTGCTGACGTAACAGCGGTAAACCACTCCCTACATTTCAGGCGGAGCCAGCTGGCTGCCACTGGCCATCAACAGTTTCGTCCACGGTGTTATTTACAGCTACTACCTGCTGGCCAGTCTGGGGCCCGCGATGCGCCGCTATCTGTGGTGGAAGCGTTACCTCATCCATCTGCAAATGCTGCAGTTCGCTGGGATCGCGGTTTACTCCGTTCTTATGCAGGTTAGCTCTCCACTTGAGCGGTCTGCATCGTGTGTGAAGCACTTCCGAAAGCCTGCCGCCAGCACCATCTAGCTAGAAAAGTGCATGCATACAACCGGCGATATCTTTTTGCAGGCTGCTTTTTGCAGTTGTATAGTACGTTCGGTGCTAGTGAACAGTTCTGGCCCCGCCTAACTCCCGGCATTGCCTCCTCGGGCAATGATGCCGTACCCCCGCACCGATGTAGTGTGGGCTCCTTTCACGCTTCAGGTAAAAAACTGATTGGTCGGCAGGCTGGGAGATCCGCGCATTTTCTCGTTCTCTTACAGCGTCCGCATTAATTACATCACGGCTATGACGTCATGATAGGATCTTCTACAGTTCTGCCGGTTTCCCGTTACCGACCGTGCCTGTCCCAGTCTGGTTACCATGTGGCTCCGCAGGCACGTTTATGATTCATCCTACCGACATTGTCACACTGCACTACGTCCTTCATCATGAAGCCGTAAACATCCACCGGAGTAGACGTTGTGAGCATGAGCACGCTGCAGCTATTTTTAACTGTTTTTTGCCACGCCTTCCTCAATACACAAGCACGAGTCTTGTCACCGGACTTACCTCAGCAGAATGAAAGCATGCGATAGGTACACAGATACCCAAAGGAAGGACAACCATTAATCCAACTGATACGCGTCCTAGTCTATCGAGTACAATGCAAATAATGGAGAGTGTGGTACAAAAACAGCTGGCCGACTGCCTGGACACGCTACGCTTACTGGCTGCAGCACAACACGAATACCGACAACGACACTGGACCGAGACAGGTCTCTGTGTCATCACTGATCGCGCCCTTCGTGCCATGAACAGCGGCGAAATTTCAGGGTTGGCCCTTTTCAGTCTTTCCAAAGGTGCTGACGTTATGCCTCACCAGAAACTTCTCGAACAGCTGAATATGACGGTGTCGACGCCAGTTGGTTCACAGACTATTTGGCGGGGCACATGCAGCAATTGGTTCACAGACTATCGGGCGGGGCACGTGCAGCACGTGCGAGTGCGTAGTCTTGATGGCTCTGGCATAACGCCTCGGCTAAGAGAAAACAACATCGGGGTGTTCTAAAGGGAGCCTTAGCTGAGTCTTATGTGGTCCTATGCATGCTTTTCGCCAACGGCCTGCGTCTGCACGTGCCCAACGGTGCCGCCATCGTTAAGTTTGCAGATGATCCGCAAATTCATGTTACGAGTAGAATTAGACTTTGGCAATTATCGTTTCTCTCATAGAAACCGCCCTTGATTTTCTCTACCGATTGTTTTGACAAAATGACATGAAGGTCAAGAGCGCCAAAACTGAAATATTTGTACGGGGCACACCGACAACGCCGAGGAGCGTCACTCCCGTTACGGTCACATGCTGTGGGTCCGTAGTGAGGGATGCAGCGACGGTGAAAAACCTGGGCTGTGCCTATACCGCCATTTGACCTAACCAGACTCAGACGCACATTGACCTGACCAGACACACATTGACATGACCAGGCACACATTGACCTGACCAGGCACGCATTAACATGACCAGGCACATATTGGCATGACAAGGCACACATTGACCTGACCAGGCACATATTGACCTGACCAGGCACATATTGACTTGACCAGGCGCACATTGACCTGACCAGGCACACATTGACGCTATGACTTCCACATATATGTACATGTGTTCTGATCACCCTCAGTCATGCGTGTCGCGTGCTGCCTGCGAACACGCTGATAATCATTGTGCAGGTTCCCATTCCTTCGGTCGTTCGGTACCGCATGAGCGTGCATGGCTCGTATGGCGTGACGCAGATTGCTCGCGTGCGGCAGGTCAACTGCTGTGCCCGAGTGGCCAGTGGTCGGAGACGCTGTGATCGCATCTCAGGTGTAATCGGGCAGCCTGGCAGCTGAGCAGCTGCTCGAGTGGCCCATGGTTGGAGGCGCTGTGATCGCATCTCAGGTGTTGTCGAGCAACTCGGCAGCTGAACAGCTGCACGAGTGGCCAGTGATCGCAGACGCTGTGATCGCATCTCAGGTGTTATAGAGCAGCTCGGCAGCTGAACAGCTGCACGAGTGGTCAGTGATCGCAGACGCTGTGATCGCATCTCAGGTGTTATCGAGCAGCTCGGCAGCTGAGAAGCTGCCCGAGTGGCCAGTGATCGCAGACGCTGTGATCGCATCTCAGGTGTTATAGAGCAGCCCGGCAGCTGATCAGCTGCGAGCGGCTGAGCTAGACGAGTACCACGCCGTCTGCGCAGTTCAGCGAGCTAATAGGGCAGCTAATCCTGAGTACAGCAGCAAAATCGTACGTCCCACAAGCTAAGCGACTGCAGCACCCGCAAGGCAGACCGCGTAACATAGCCTCGAGCGCAGACTGAAACAGCCAGGCGCTAATTGTGAACCAGAGGGGTCACTCTGCTGAACTGGAACAAGGTTGATCCGTATCTACTGTCATTCCATCGAAACTTTTAAGTGAAATCTCGTTTAGACGCCTGAAAACCTCTTTTGCACTTGCTGTTTCGTTGCAGCGACGCTCGTGTCTTTATCTGCGGCGTTTTATTTGTATTGTACCACATCGTATTTTGACGATATACTATTATACTGACGGGGCACGTGAAAAGCCACCATGGTTCTGAATTCTTGACGAACGCACATCTGCATCTGCATCTGAATCATCTCGATGTGACCTTCAACAGAGCGTCATCAGACGCCGTTGGTGTCGGGATGTAAGGCTCTCCTTGAATCCGTAGGATTTTGCCGCACATTTTCTGTGGAGTCCATGCGGACTTAGTCCGGTATCGGACTAAGTCGGCATGGTTTCATGGTCTCAAAGGAGATAAGATTTCTTTGAGACCACCTCCAGCATGCTATATTTTCGTGCGCAGAGGCGTGATCTACAAGGGGAATGAAGAGATTTCTAGAACACCTAAATTCCGGATTCTGAGCGGACTTCAGAGGTGAATTGAGTTTTCAGAACCTAGTTTCAGTTCTGAGAAGGGGACATCCTACTTGCTTTTACATTTTCTTCGTGTATTCATAGAGAGCACCGAACTGAAGTTATCCAACAGTATGGAAGTACTTGTAATTTTCCTCAGCATTAACTTCGTGCCATTATACAAGGTTTACTGGCATTGAAAACAGAGCACTTACTGCAAAATATTTGAGTGTGCGCAGGCCTCTAATGCATATTTTTTTGGCAAAACTAAGTGCATGCTCATAAAAATGTGAACACTACAATGCTACATTAAGGCCATCAATCAGATCACTCGTGGTATATCTGTATATAATGCTTTCACTTTGCGTTTCAGGTGTACTGCTAGCAGTCAGCCATGATTTTTGTTTTGTACCTGTATGGATGGTACCTTGGTCATGACTTGTTAGCCACCTGTTAAACTGCTCCTGTTACCATTTAAAAGCGCTTTTTTGTGAAATATTCCACGAAATGACATGCTTATATCAAAAGTCTTGGATACATTCAAACCATCGATGATCAAAACCAACATTTTGTTAGATCAAGTTCATCAAGTTCCTTTCATAGGATTGTTACAGCGCGAGTAATACGTTGTAAGGTACTTGCTGTACCTTTTAAGATTAGATCGTTTTTAATCCGCTCTATGCGCGTAGTCCGACAGATGAGATTTCGGTAAACTTATGCTGCATATGAAGTTGACCGGTAGTCTCCTGGTTCATAGGAATCCCACCACTCTGCGCCGTGCGTGGGTGTGACCTTGACTTTGATTCATCTGACCTGTGCGTCAACCTCATCGCACCGAGCTTTATAACAACTTGGCTGTGACTGATGTTACACGTATGTGACCTTGACGAGCGCGAGGTTTGTGTGACCTTGACCGCGATCATTTTGTAGATGCCGGGGCTCCGCTGCGGCCTGCCGCTCTGGACGTGCGTCATGCCTGGCGTCTACCTGGTGGTGTTGCTGACGCTGCTGCTGCTCAGCCTGCGAGGGCGGCCCGAGCAGGCCGCGCCGCCCGCCGCCACGAGCGCCTCTCGACCTGACCTCGGCGGCAAGCTGCGTCTGTCGCTGGCTCAGGCTCTCGCGCGCCACGGCCTCGGCTGTTGTATCGACCACGGCCCGTCACGCTGACCCGCACTGGCGCTGTGCTGTTGACCGAGGGTGTGGGGGTGGGGGGCATTGGGGCTGATGGCCGTAGGCGCGTGCATGCCATATACATGCCGATCGCTAAACCCGATTAATTAACCTGTTTGTTGTTGTTATGAATTGGGTCATTTTCCTTCCCATGGGCGCGGCGCAGGGGCGGCCGCCACCGTCTTGCTGTGGCGTGGACACTGCTGAGCCTTCTGAATTTGTTACGGTGTCGGAAGTCGAGACGAGCGTCAGACGAATGTGCGCTGTGTGCAGCAGTGCAGAAGCAGATTAAAGTGTGCAGAAGCAGATTGTTTTTACTATAAAAAGCTGCGGTGAATCGGCGTGCTTTTTGGTTTGAGCAGGTGTTATTTATTTCCATTAAAATGCACGGCTTGTTGCGCCCCGTTTTAAGCTGCTGTCATTGGTTTATACTTTTGCAATGCATATTGCTCACGAAATGGCAGGCCTCACCTCCTGCCGTGACTTGCCAAAGTTAGCGTTTGGGACAACAGTCGTGCAGGTCGCCGGCAGCACCACCGCTGCACCTGTAAACCCACACAATTTGCAACAACGAAAAGTCTGCGACTTATGGGCAGGCGCGAATTCCATTCATTCGCGACTTTCCGAGTAAGGTATGCCACAGAACATCACAGCGCACCTGTATGCCACCGTACTGACGCAGTCACAAAACTTTTCCACCAGACTGCAAACAGAATGGGTTTGTTTCTGCCGGGTGAGAGAATAATGAGTCGTGTCGCCGGGCATGGTCGGTACCTAATGTGCTCCAACCGTTCGTTGGTAAGTGCACCTTCGCGAATTACCAGAGCTGTGGGTCATGGGGGGAAATTAAGCAAATATGGGTGAAATG